CCTTTTCACAGAAGTTAGCAATTTCAATATTCTATTCCATTTCAACAGAATTAAGCATTCAGTAAACAGTAATCAAGTAAAAAGAAGAGACCTTAGAGGTCATTTTATGAAAAAAAAATATTTAAAAAAAAAGAGAAAGAACTGAGAAAGCTATTGTCAGTGAACAGATGCAGCCACTTACACACATGAATTGTACCTGAAAGATCAGATTTCACTAACACACAAGAAAGTAGGCAAGAAATCTATAAATATCACAGCCTACAAACAGGTTTTGATAGAAATAACTATTACTGCCCCACCCAGCCTCCCCAGATGAGGTTTTGGGCTGCTGGAAATGTGCCAAGTTTGTACACTCTCTTCCAAAATTTGTATCCTGTCTAGCCTCCTTTTCACTGTAAGAAAACACAGATACTAGATGTCTTAGGGAGTATAAAAATCTAGTCTGTACATATACACCACATACAAGAAACACTTACAAAACTGTATGTAGTTACTTGAATGAATTTTTACAGTTAGCAAAAAATATATATACATGCCCATACAGAGTCATTGTATTATGTCACTGTGTCATAATAACTGAGAGTCAGCTGAGGTTACCTTTGGAGCTGAATTATCATTATAAAAGCAAAGTGTCATATAAAAGCCATGAATTTCCATACACTCAGTGTCTAGAGTATCTTGATCGGAGTGATAGTAAATGATGTGGCTGGCTCAGTTCAACTCAGTGCAGCTGGAGGGCTGCTGCTATATATAATCAAGCTATCTCTGACCGTACGAGCCATTCCATCAACTGCAGAATATCAGCGTCACCTTTGAGAACTGCTCCTCGTCAAGGCCAGAGGACAATAAAAGCAGTGTAAGCCTAGTTTGCTGATTCATGGCGTGATCTCATTAGATCTGAGCCCAAATTGCTGCTTACAAGGTGAGGGAAATAAAATATACTGCAAATGCAATGCAAAGATGATATGACTAACTTGAATAAATGAGCTAAGTGTAAAGAAGGCAGTAATATCAGACTACTTGACTCAGAAGATGGCTTGATCACATCAGAAATCTGTTTAGTAGAAATCATTTTGGAGGATTCAGCCAACTTCCCCCTTGAGAGAAGTCTCTAAAGCAGAAGTGCGTTAACCTCTTGCTTTGTTCCCAACAAATGCACCAGTTGCTGAGGAAATATTGTTTTCACACAACCCCATATTCCTCATAGAGGACGTATATAGGAGTATAGGAAAGGATGCTGCTTCTGAGCAGTGCGGTCCAGTGCAGAGAGAGAAGAGCCACGTTATCCCATAAACAAAAGAAGAATTTTATTTGTCCAGAATAACAGATGATTCTTTATCTTTTTTAGGACAATCAAAACTACAACACCCTGCTATAAGTAGGACCAGTTTCCGTTCAGCTTTAACCTGTCTTTCCTGCACCAGAACTGGAAAAGATCCAAGGAGACAGAGACTGCTATTATTGAGCACTTACATTATCTCCTTATGGCTGAAAGCATTGTATAGTAGAGGGAGGATCCTTAATTGCTTACATGCCTTTAAAAAAGTAGTAAGACACACAAAACAGATACATACTATGAAGAAATATGTTCCCACATTACCACTGCCTTGCTAAATTCCTGCCATCTTGCACATTACTAGGTAACACTATCTTTGTGCTTAGTTACTTTGTATGCAAGAAATATTTGAATGAGAAGGAAGGGATAAAAGGCTGTTAAAAGTATTTTAGCACCTCATCCATAACTATGATGATCTCCGCAGATATATCCACTAAATCTCATGGTTATGAGATTATACCTCAGAGCAAAGCTTATTTCAAGAGCACTTATCATCATCAGATCCACCTGCTGAAGCAATTCAGCATACACTTAATGTTCTAATCTACTTTTTCCTTTCATTCAAGAGTGCTGGTCAGGGATGGCAGGACAAGGAAATCAACAAAAAGTAGCTTATTGAAAGGAGAAAAAAAAATTAAAAAGTTACTATTTTCTTGACTTGGTTAGCCGATTCACCAAACCAGTAACAAAACAACAACAAAATCCCAGTAGGATTAACTCTGTAAATAATGGGTGAATATGCAAAGAACAAGACTTCTAAGTCCTGCCACTTCAATTCCAGCTGCAATTATACACACATAAATATATATGTATATAGAACATAAATATAAATATATATATATGTAAAGTCTACTTTTAACCCTTAGCATTAGGAGTTTCACTCCCTACACGTCAAGAACTTTGTAAGCAAAGACATGTGAAGTCCAACTCCCCTGAACCATATTTCTTACTGCTCTGATGAGCATTCATGAAGTTAATCACCCTTTATAGCATGGGAAGTATACTATACTACTCCAGCAGCTTAGCAGTCAGAAAATAATGGTTATAAAATAAGTAATCAGATTCTTAACACCTTATATCTGCTTACCTAGCAGTATAAAGAATTACAAGAGCACCTGTATTAGATATCTTAAAAAGCAAAATAGAGATATTATAGTGATGTTACAAATACTATAGTACAGTCATGGATATAAAGTAGACCTGTGGGGTTTTTTTAAATGTATTACAGAATCTATTTTTATTTTTTCTTTAGCTACTACCATTGAAACCGTTACACATCTGCAAGAGCATGTTCCAGGATGTAGCATATTCAGCATCAGTCATCTACAACTTGAGTTTTGAAAGGAAAAAAATGTAGCTGTTTTAACACACAGAAGAATGAAAAAAATATCAATTTTAAAGATATTCCTCTCTTTTCCCCTTCCAGATCTTGTATAATTGCAAGCCCTTTAACTGATGATGTGTATGAAACATTTCTGTGGCTCCCAATGAACAAAGCACAGAAATCTGACAAAATCAATTACAAATGAGCAATAATAAGGCTTGATCTTTACTCCATTCAAGTCAAGTACAATCCCCCTGCTTTGATCAGTGGAAGCAGGTCCTGTCATTTTTGCTCAGCCTGCTTTAATAAAACGCTCTGCATGAAAAAATCAAAATTGCCGTGTGGATTAATCACACACAAAACAGCCTGATCCTACTTTCACAGTAGAGTTTTGCAATTCATTTGAAATTAAAAAGGAAAAAAATACATACGTAAGTAATTGTTAATGAAACATTTTGGGACGTCTCTCACCTACTGTCAGGCTGGCAGAACGCATTTCTAGATATAAATTTCAAAATTAGTCTAATGAATACAAGAGAATTCTGAAAGATGTACTGATTTTCTTATCTGTATAGCTAACACTTAAAAACATAATGTAATGCAAAATTGAAAATTAAAAATTAAAAATTTAAATGAATGAAGAAAAATAACCAAAGGAAGTGGATATAGACTACTAAATAATCAGAGGAGCTTCTATGATGCTAACAACAGCCACATTGAAAACAGCAGAAATCTGAATCTAACTTTAGGCTGAAACTGTCTCCCTGACTAACTGTTCCTCCATCCAAATGCAGCCCTGCTGTGATACATATTGCAGTTCAGATGGCAAGAGATGCAACATCATGCACCCGCTTTCAGTGCTCAAAAGTACACATTGTACAGACTGTAAAGAAAAAAAAATAATTATTTGATATTATCTAAATATAAATAATACTCATAATTGTACTCAGTACTTAAATTGCAACTCTATTGCAGTATTTAACTCAAGTGTTTCAATTAACTTTTGATAACCTCAGATTTTCAGGGAGACTTTCGCTGTCTTTTTTGGTAAATCCGTAAAGCAACACAGAAGTTAAAAACAGCCCATGACAGCTTATTTTTCAAAACAAATATGGTCTTCTCAACTGAGCTAGGAAAACAGGCAGGTTATTTCACAAAACAATATCCCAGGTGCCATATTCTAAGCAGGGACAGGGAATGCTTAGGATTGGTGGAGTGGTACCTGGCAGATCAGCTATTTTATTATTTTTAAAGCATCTTTACAGCCTTTCTCTGGCATGTAGTAACTACTGGTCTTTATCTTCCTTGACTATCCTAATAGCATACCTAGGAAGACAGCACTTAAAACACGTAGGTGTTGGCATAAGGAATCGTTCTTTTGTTCTCTGCTGTTGAGGGAACACCACCTTTGTCAAGGCGGCGCAGCAGCGTGCGCAAGTGAGCACCCACTTGGATTCAGCCGCCTCCCTGTGACAGGCGGCCCCTGCACGGGAACACGCACAGAAAATAAACAGTTACTGCTGACCGATCATTAGCCTGACGTCTTGTGTTTAAATATACGTATATACGTATTTATATGTTTGTGAAACGTGTATTTTGAGTTCAGCAACCTCGGAGTACAGGGAGTTTGGTTCAGTGATGAACAGCGTCTGGCGCGTCTCACCACTGAGCTCCCACATCCTGACAGCACCGGGAGTGTTCCGACACAGGACCGCTCGCACCGATACCACTCGAAAGGGCCAGGCACAGCTCTGCTCAGCCCCGCTGCAGCCCTTACCCCGGGCTACTGCTCCCCACGAGCTGCCCCTTCCCATCGCACGCCCACGGTGTCCCCGTCCGCGCAGGGGACACGACGAGGGCTTCGCCCCGGTTAACTCTGGAGAGCGGCCCTGCGGCTGGGGGCACGGGCAAACTCTCCTGCCGGCACCGCTTCCCGCCGCCCCTGACCTTCCTGCGGCGCTGCCCTGCGGGGGGCGGACAGGACCCCGCAGCCCGCGGGTCGCACAGGTGCTGGAGGGCCCCTCTCGCCGTGCCCGCCCGGCCGGCGCAGGTGGCGGGAAGGCTGCGCCCATTCCCGGGCAGACCTCGCCTCCTAGCGCCCGCGCCGGGCCGCGCTGCGGGCACCGGGAACGGCGCGCCGGCTGCCTCCCGAGCCCCTCCACCTTCCCGCATCGGGCCCACTGCGGGACCGACCGAGGGGGCAGGGAGAACGTACGGGCCCTGCAAGGCCGGCACAGAAGCAAAGCCGGGGAAAGACGCCGGACTGACAACGATCCCCGGCTGCCCCTGGGCCCGCCCAGCCCAGCCAAGCCCGAGGCGGAGCGGGAGGCTCGGCGTTACCTTTCGAAGAGCAGCCGGATCATGAAGATGCAGAAGGCCAGGGGGAAGGCGAGGTAGAGGTCCTCCGCCTGCGGGAAGGCGGCTTCCTCCGTGCTCTGCAGGTCCGCCCAGGTGACGTTGTGCGGCAGCCAGAACCGCTCGTTCCAGAACCAGGCGAGGATCCCTGCCATCTTTGCTTTGTCTGCCGCGGCGCCCCCCGCTCCGCTCCGCCCGCGGCGAGGCGCGTGTGAGCGGCTGCCGGGGGAGAGGAGGATGGAGGCGTGTGTCAGCCCCGCAGCCGCGGATGATGCTGCCGAGCGCCGCCGTGCCGGTTCCCCGCCCGGCGGGGGCAGCGGCCGCCCCGCCTGTCACACGGCCGCGCCGGCCCCCATTGGCTCCCGCCCGCGCCCGCCGCTGTGGGGCTGCCCCGGAGCCGCCTTCCCCCGCCCCTCTTCCCATGCCAACAGACCTCACCGAGCCGCGAAACACAAGTGAGCGGCCCGAGCGAGCGGGGACTCCGTCCCGGGGGCACTCACCGCGGCCGGGGCTGCCGGCACCGGGCGCAGCCTCCGCCTCAGCGCCGGCCCGGCGCCCCCCCGGCCTGGCAGCTCCGCGCCGTGTCACCCGCCCGGCCGCCGCGGCCCTCGTTCCCTTCGCCACCCGGCCGGGCTCCCGGTGTCCCCCGATTAGAATTGGCAGGTGCCAGCAGCGAAAAGCCTCCCTCTGTGAACTCTGCACAGCCACGCGGAGTAGGGGCGGCTGCCTCAGCCTGGTCCTCACGAATGACCCCTGCCCGAAGCGCTGCTCCTGAGGCGCTTAACCGGGAGCGAGGCTGTCCCGGATGGAAGGACCCTCAAATGTTCAATGACTTCACCCTGAACGCGAGTACAGGCGTAAATGAGGCATGGAAAAGCGTCGGAAAGCACACGACTGATCAGCAACAAAACTGAGGTTAGGACTGTGGCTTTGCACTCACGGCTAAAGAAAACCTTTTTGTTTTTTACATAGGTTTTCACTTTCGATTCCTTATCTCACTGCCGTGCCCCGCTAAAGATATGGTGCGAGAGGAAAACTATAATTGATTCCACTATACTTTACAGCAAAGGTGTCTAGCAGGCTTTAGTGTAGCTATAGCCACAGGACTGTACACATGGTCTTCTAAGCACACACATTACTTCAAGTAGTAGTTATACCACTCCAGTAGCATCACTATTTTGTCTGCCCTGCTTCAGTTTGTGTTAAATGGCTTATGTTTCCTTCTCTTATATCATCATCCTCTCCAGCTGGCTATTGAATACTGAGACAGACTTCTGCACATGGCATACTTCAGTTTTACCGTCCTGCTTTTATGCTTTCTGCTAACTTGTTCTTTTCACTCCACTGGCTCTATTTGCCCTTCCTGAAAAATTAATTGCATGGTTCCTCATGTCTGTGCTGACATTTCTGTGGTGAATAAAATTATAACTCAAACATAATGCTATGGAAAGCTCCACACTCATTCAAAGAAAGGTATCGGTTTCTGTATATGGACATCATTTCCATCCAGGACATTTCAGGAAATGCTTTGGCAGGATGGCTGAGTAGCGATGTGGGTAAACCTGCCACTGAATGTTTCTGTTTTATTACTGAGCCAATTTCCTAAGTGTCTGTATTATTATTCTGATTCAGTTTTTGTGGTTGCTTCTTGGGGAGAAAGAAAAGAGCTGGTAGGTGGAACCTGCTCCATGAACACCTAGTACTTCGAATTGTCTGAAAAAAGTTTGAGTTCTAGCACCACTGCCAGATCTGCCTGCCCCCATCTCTTCCTTCACTGCATCTCAGGATTCTTCTCTGACATGAGCTATCTGTCAAAATCCAGGGCTTTGCTGTAATTTCAGTTCAGAGGGAAAGCAGACCATGAGTTGCATACCTCAAATGCATTCTCCTTCACTTACAAATAGGACTTCCTGTGCAGAAGGAAACATCTCTTTGCTCAAATCAGCAAGACCCCTTTTAGCCAGTACCAAAAACTGGCTGCTGGTTTCTTCTGGCTACCATCTCTCTTCCTCCTTCCAACTTCTCTCCCTTATTCTCACAGCCAGATTTAACCCCTCTTCCAACTGACTTAGAACTCCCCTAGAATTTCCCCTGGGAGCTTATCTTTCAGCACTCATCTCACAAACACCTGACCTGGCTCCTGCACATATACATGTGCTTCTCAAACCATCCAGATCACTCAATTTTCTGAGTGGACTTGCATAAGTCAGTTTTAAATGATGTGAGTGCATGTCCTCAGAATGACTTCAGAAGCATCAGCTTTAAAATCTGATGAAAGCCCTTTAGATATCATTTTAATATCTGACACTCATTTTAATATCTGACACACATATAGTATTTTTACATAAAATATATTCATTAATGATAATTGTGTTTAAGGCAAAGTTGTTTTTAATCAGAAAATTGCTGTCCTTATTCTGTACCGGAAGGTGACATGTCTTTTTACAGCCTATTTCAATATTCCAATCACTTTAGAAGGACATTCAATATTTATGTCTGTTTGCATTCCAGTGAAGCAGTTGTTTCACAGTCAGTACTGAGACTCATGGGTGCTGCTGCTTGGCTTTGCTTATGTACAGATACAGGAAAGGAACAGACCTTTGCAAAATGAACCTGGCAACAGTAATAATCTGATGATGCATAAGAGGTTAATTCCCTTTAAACAATTAGTGTAATTGACTTTTGTGTCAGACTGAAATTATGTTAGGACAATAGATCTGAAAATGAATGACAATTCTGAAATGTTTGGAAGGACAACCAATTAAAAGCTTTTAATTGAATTCAAACTGTGGAAGCAATTATGTAGATGTAGCCAAGTCATGACTGTGGAATGAGGATGCCTGAGTATTGTGCTTTGAAGGGAGATACTACCATAGAGGTTTTTTCCTGCCCCCTAAAATTGTTATATCACAAAACAGAGCCAAAGAGAACTTTAAAAACCATGGTTTTCTTATGTGGTCTCATATCCTGAATGAACTTACTCCAAGGTAGTTCTAGAACTTGGCTGGCCTAAAAAATATAAAGGGCTAAAAGTGAGTCTGGTTCCTCAAAACCCAGCCTGGGCACTCTGTAATTACTAAAAAGAGTTAGTAATAATTAAACAAAAGCAGATACATAGAGTCACCAAAAGGTACTGAACTTCTGTTTCCACTCTGAAAAGAAAAAGAGAAAACTGACAGGCTGCACATATTCAAGACCTTGAGCAATCAGCAGAGTGGACGCTGTAAAATGAAGGACTTCTTTGTTTATGTCTTGTTTATTTTTTTAGCATCAAGAGCCAGGTTATTTAGAAATAAAATTACTTTTCTTAGTCTAATGAAGTTCCTCCTTCAGGCTTAGAACAAGTGTACTGAATGCATTTTCACACAACAGAAGACTCCATTTGCTCACCAACCTCACTTCTGCACACAGCGATGAAGTTCCAGTAGCCTCTTCACATCAGACTAGGAGATAGAATAAAATGTGTGACACTTTCAAATTTAGCATTGTTTTAACACATGAAAATCCAGAAAGTTTTCTGGAAAATTTAAATTTAATTTAAGGTTTTTTTAAAAATAAATATTAAACTGCTTAAAATATGCAGTGATTCATGCTGTCTTAGGCTTCCACACGTATATAAACACACACACATACACAAAGCATAGATTAAAAATAAAAATAAGCAGTAGTCAGACATTAGGATAAGAGAGTCACTTAAAGTAATGGGACTCCTAAGATATCAGGACAATGTTCCAATAAGTATTGCAAAAACTGCATAGAAAATCAGCATGTTGTTTAAAGTCAGCTGTTTGGCATAGAAATGCCATTTAAAGTTTTCAGGCTTGAGTTACAAGCTCATAACAAAACCTTGGAGGCTTCCTTCAAGGATATTAACAGGAATCTTTCCTACTGGGAGTGTTTCAAAAGCAGCTTTACTAGCGTGCAGTGGGCAATAGCTCACCATTTCTGTTTACCTGTCATGGTTTATTTTTCCATCTGCAGTCAACAGGAGTGTTTATCACATCTCTAAACTGCTTTGAGCGAGTTTGGTAATGTGTATTATCAACGTGCTTGTGCCATATTGCTGGGACACCTGGAGGAATTGGTCCACCAAAACAGGAAAAGTTGCAGAAAAACCTCTTGTTTTTAAAGAACCGCTGAATAATTAATTGAAAGCAATCAGACAATGTTTTTATCTCATTTAGTCTGCTGTAACTCTGGAGTAGTAACTCTGGAGTAGACTTACACGCAGGGAACTGTGATCAGACTCTGGACCAGTCCCTTTAACGAATCAGATAGTACAGGTACCAATAACACTGTCCACTGAGACTTCTTGATATCCAAATCTGAACTGGGTTGTTCTTAAGCAGGAGAGGTGGCTATGGCTGATCCCTGTAAAAGCAGTGGTGCCAGTCCCATTTCCATAGGTCAGTGTCACTGCACTGCTGATATTGTGCCTAGCAGAAGGGCCAAGAACTGCCTGGGTGTTGTGGGACTGCTCTGTGCCCTCCTGAGGAGGGTGGAGAACCATGGGCACAGGGGAAGTGGCAGTGCAAGTCATGGCCATGAGCTGTCATTCTTCTAACATGTCTTCTGCCTGCTGGTCCCAGCAGTTCTTGTGCTCCCTTCCAGTTTCTTGTGCTACTACTTTGCCAGCTTCTCTAATAATTTTACTTGAGAAACACACTAACACAGCAGCAGTCTTCATTACAAATGCTATGCTGGGCCAGTCAAATCAGTCTTGACTCCTGCAGGGGGTTGTATTAGTCTGAAGAGACCAGTCTGGCTTTACCCAATTACCAAACAACGTGCCCTGAATTCAAATCACTAGCTGAGCTCCGTGTAATAGCACTTAAAATGCATCAGTACAGTAGGTGTCCCCAGGTTATATCACTCCATAGCTTTCCAAATGTTTTATCTTGGCAGACGAACAAGTTTTGTCACTTGGAAAGACATGCAATGGTAATTAGTTTGGCTGCTGTGAAAAGATATATGGACAAGTAGCTTAACTGAAAGAAAGGTTTACAAGCCTTGAGACAGTTTGTGCTTTGTGCTGGGCTTCGATTAAAGTCAAGATCTGAAGCAGAACTGCTCTATGAGGACCGGTCAGAAGGAGAGGAGGAAGCAGGGATTGCCTGATTCACTGTATGTCTCCATGCTTCATTTGTCTTCACTGTTCACTTTGGTTTGGCTTCCTACTCTAGATTTTTAAAGAAAGCATGCCAAAGTGTACATACAAATTATGATACTGTCATAGTTCACTTGATTTCAATGTCACTTAACTACATGAACTTACGCTATG